GCCGAGCGCAAGCCGGGCGGGCCCCTCCACTGGCGGCCGGGCGGAGGTGGGCGCGGGGCGCGAGGTCCCCGGGAGACGCGGGCGAGGAGTTGTAGTTCCCAGGCTGGAGCGCCTGTCTGCCCCGCGCTCAGCTCGGCGTCTCACCGCGCTGCAGCCTGCTCTGGCCGTCGGCGGAGTCCGGAGGAGACCGCGCTAAGTAAGGTGGAGAGGAGTTTCTTCAGTGTGCCGCTGCTGCTCGCGCGTCTTCCAGTGCAAGTTTCTCGCCGCCTCCCGGGCAAGTCTTTTTTGCTTTTTTTTTTCCTTCCCCCCCACCCTGAAGCAGTTGGTTCCAGTTCACGAGCACTCTCCGTAGCTCAGGAAAGCGACATTGTCTCTATCACTTAGTCCCTTTCCTACCATGCAAAGCAAAAACGAGTCTGCCTCCAGGACTCTCTGTGGGCGGAATCGGCACTGAGGAGTTTGTGCAATTAATTTGTTGCAAGGTAGGAAGCCAGAAAGCCTGCATGCAACAGACTGGCATGAATAAATGTATGTTTCTCCCTCCCTTCTGCAAGAAGGGAGCTGGTAATGGCAGAGTTCCTCTAGTGCAGACTCTTAAAGAGCGTGCAAGAACTAGAGACCCGGGAGTGAGACAGGCCTCTTCCCCGCACACGCTGTTTCTCTTGCTGCAGCTTAGAGCAGACCCCAATTCCGCCTCGCGCCTCTTTATCCTTTGGCCGCAGCCAATCAGCCGCTGTAACTAACGCTTCCTCGTGCCAAGCCCCGCCCCCGCCCTTCCCATTGGCTTGGAACCCGATGCAATAATAATCTCCGCGTGCAATGAGAAGCTCCAAATCTGACCTCATTCCAATTTACAGAGCAAACTTTTTAAAAGGGCTAGAAGTACAGCTGAGATTTCTGCTGCCTCTTTTTTCCTTTTGCTCTGTGTGTGCGTGCGCGCGCGTGTGTGTATTTGTGTGAAGAGAATGTTAATGCATGAAATTATGAAGGGGAGAGACGGAAATGTATTCTAACCATTATGTTAGATAACAAGGGGCTTGGAGGGGGAGTTGAGGGTGAAATACTGTAAATGGAGGCTTTCTGCTTAAAAGCCAAGTGATTATTTTTATTAGTTCTTTTCAGCATTGGAATAAAGAATCAGCCTCTAGTGCAAAATCTGTTCCTCGGCCCCTTCTTAAAGCCAACGCCGTAAAGGGGAGGTAAAGACACAATAATAAATCAATGGATATTGAAAACCATTAAGAAAGTGGTACCTAGACACCTGTCATCACAATTATTTTAACAACTCCAGGTACAGCGCAGATGTTGATGTATTGTGTAAAATCCCTCAGAAGAGTTTCTGTGTCGTTTGTGGGAGGCAGAAAGGAGGACTTTTTGCAGTAATTGCTTATTCTCTTAACCAAACAAGGGTTAAGTATGGCTGTTTAATGATTTAAATTCCTTTATGAATCCAGAATAGCCCAAACAGCAGTTTTCCCTTAAAACACCTTAGGCAGAGCTCCATAATTACCCGGGCAGGAAAACTCTCCCTAGAGTTGTGTAGGGTGAGGATGGAGGGCACAGGGTGGAAACCAACTTTACTTTCTAAATATTTGTTTTCCATGTTTTCCAAAGGGAAGATCGGTTTGCCCTCTATCCCCGCCCGCCTCCCAAAGCCTTTCTATTTTCCTTATTTTCTCCTGTATGTGTGTTGCTTGGTTCAAGTGGGACTGAAAGACCAAGGCAAAAAAAGAAGTGATAAGCGCTGACAGGAGAGAACGCAGTCTCTGAATTCGAGTGAGACCAGCTGTTAGTCCTGCTTAGTGGCTTTGTAAGTGTGGGGTGTGACTAAGTCTCCTCCGTTGTCCTCATCTGGGATATGGGAACCCTGGGAGCTGCTTTCTAGAGCATTCTTGTGAGGGTTCAATGATAAAGCACTCGGGGAAGGTCAGTACCCTTTCCTTGCTAATCCAAATGCCATTCTGGAAAAGCAGTGACTTCAAGAGGCTGACATTGAGGATGGCCCCTGCCGTGAAAAAGGAATAACAGATCATAGATGTGACCCATACAGGGACTCTAGTGGCAACTCTGCTATTCTGATGATTTGAAAAGGAACTTCCTGAAGGATACTGTGAATAACGTAGCAAAGAATTCAGAATACACCTTCTCCCCAAGATTTGAAAATTAGAACTTTAGTAAAAACTGCCCTTCACCCTGTAATAGGAAACTGGTTTTCTACAGGCCAGTGATAGGTAGGTAGGGCCTGGCCAGCATAATGTTGGCTTTCAATTCAGGTGAAACCAGTGCTGAGTAGTGTATTTCCATTTATTTTGTCTTTTTTTTTTTTTTTTTTTTTTGGTTTTTCTACGGTACCGGGAACTGAACTCACGACCTTGCGCATGCCAGGCAGGCGCTTTTGCCGCTGAGCTAAATCCCCAGCCCCTATTTTGTCAAACTTTTACAGTGTGTAAGCTGGCAAGAGACCTAGGCTGTGGAAAGAGCACCCTATGGAGACAGCTGATTGGGTGAGGCATAAGCAAGACTGTTTTTGAGGATGAAAGCAATTTTTTACTATTAGCTGCTCAAGTTATTTATTCCTTTGTTTCTTAGAAGGCACAACCCTAAAACAAAACAAGAAACCCCACAAACAAAAACACAAATGCACTTTTTTGGCGTAATAAAGTTAGTGTGACGTCATACATTTCATTTTTTTTCTGGTATGTTTAGAAACTCGCCCTAAATATTAACGACCTGACACAAAGTTTTTTCTCAAAGGTCTGTTATCTATGAAATCACTATTTTCTCTAGGATAAAAAAGAATAAGTATCTATTTGGGGATTGATACCAATACTAGTGTTCTGAGGGTGAATTACTTTGATAACTCAGTGTGCATAAATATAATTGATTTTTTTTTTTTTTTTTCCAGAACCGGGAACTGAACTCACGACCTTGCGCTTGCCAGGCAGGTGCTGTGCTGCTGAGCTAAAACCCCAGCCCCAATATAATTGATTATATCAACATTTATGTTTCCACCACAGAGTAGGATGGGGAAAAGTAGAAGTTAATTAAGGCAGTCATAGTAATTATGTTTATGCTTAAGGCATAGTTGTTTTTTTTTTAAAAAAGAGTATACTAAAGTGCAGTCCCTGGGCTAATCCTTTTATTAGATGTATCTTCTGTATTTCAACAAATCCAACACAGTTTAAGATTCATCATTATATTACATGGCACTAGCTAAGAAAAATGCCAATAAAAAAACCCCTTTCATCTCTCTAATTGTAAGACGCTTCTTTGTTTCAGAGATGTTGAAAGGAAAATGTTTCTCTGAGAGTTGATGAAATACGGTATTAGTAACTTTCAGGGACTTTAGGAGATGATAATAGTATATGTAGGAGTGCTTAGACTTCTGAAATGGGTTGGCTCTTAGGTGTTAGATCGTGTAGAATGGAAGAAAATATAACAAATGGCCATTTATTAAAGTCATCTGTCAAATGAGTAAAATGTGAGTAAATATATCGGAATGTATTGTGCTTCAAATACCAAATAATGAGAAAAGATTTTTATGTTTGGATTACCTAACGTCATTTGTTTTGTAATCAGTTCTCTATTACTAACGTTTCCCCCAAATAGCAGCTCTGTGATGGCCCCTGCTAAAGCAGTACTCAGTGTTCCCTCTGCTGGCTCTGCGGTACATGAAGTAATTCTCAGTGCCACTCTTTTAGCTGCATTAACAAAAGCTAATTTTGCCAAAAAAAAAAAAAAAAAAATCTTGTTTCAGAATAATAAATTATCCTCAACAGCAATGATGTGAGGCATTTTCAAATT